TCCCTCTCCCTACCCACTATCAGCCACCAACCTATGTTCCACAGTTTCGACGGGATCACCTTCCACAGTTTGACGGCAAGTCCTCCGAGCTCCAAGGATGGATCACTACTGCTGAGGAGCAGCTTCGCTACCATGGTGTTGCCATGGAACTGTGGCCCGTCGAGATGTCCTCTCGCTTTACAAGCCGTGCAGCCTCCACCTGGCGCGACTTCCTCGCCCTCCGCTCACAGCGTGGCGTACATGAGGGCATGTCTTACCCCGAGTTTCGCTACTTCCTTCAGCAATACTTTTCTCGCCCTGCGCCCACCCGCGACCCGATTATTCGTGTGGCTGAGATCAGATGGCTTGGTGGCAACAATCCCTTAGAGTCATACATCACGACATTCCATCGTGTACGCGCTCAGATCCCCATCACAACCATATCTGAGGACGCCATGATCCAGCGATTCCGGGCAGGCCTACCCCAGCCATTCCAGCTGCAGATGCTGGCGTGTTCGATCCCCACCTTGCCGGAGGCTTTCAACATTGCTCGGGCCATCCATCTCACTTATGCACCACTAGTTGGTCCCGCGTCTCAGCCCGCCGTTGCCCACTCTGCCACTACTGCAGCCTCTCGCCCCTCCCAGCCTCGACAGTCCTCTACATTCCGTAGTGGCCCCCGTAGAGGCTCTGGACGATCCCTCTCTCGTCGCTTGCATGCGCTGCTTCATGACTCATTGAGCATTGATGATGGCACTAGCTTAGATGCGAGTGACCCAGATCAGGGACCCGACCCTCAGTCCCCCACGGAGGATGACGCCTCTTCCCATGACGACCGTCTTGTCCGGGCCCTTTCCACCCTCTTCCGACGTCAGCCTTCATCCTCCGGGACTCGCTCTACGACCACTCAACTACCCCTCCCAGCGGGCTTTGTCTTCCCTCGCAGCCGCCTGACCATTGCTGAGAGTGAGGACCTTCGCACACAAGGCATCTGCACCCGCTGCCGCCTCGTCGGGCATACCTCCTCTACCTGCCCGTACGCAGACGCCCTCCAGAGTCACTTTGCACAGCAGGCTCGCCCTCAGGCTGTTCCCCCTGTCTCGACCTCCAGCTCTGCAGCCACCTAGTGGCGATCTCCCGCCCCGCTGACCCTCCCACAGTAGCAGGCATACCCGCCCGCGACTCTACCTTCGCGCCGCTTGCTACTCTTTCTGAGGACTCGGACTTGACTTCATTGTTGGTCACTCCTAGCGTCATTGACCCACTCTCCAGCGCCTCCACTTCTTCGCCTAGCGTCCCTCATGATCCCCCTCCTCCTCGTCCTCCTACTAGGCGTGCTCTCCGCACGGCGCGCTGCAGCGCTTCCCTCATTGCAGCCGAGGATATCATTGACTTCCTGGACCTTGAGTGTGTTAAGGTCCACTAGGAACGTCTCCGCCTTAAAGAGTGCGCCCTGTCCGCAATGTCTCAGCGCCTACACAACCCCGACCGCACCTTACCGATTATTCCAGTGCGCCTCGGGACCTCTACTAGAGTGTATCGCGCACTATGGGACTCTGGCTATACTGGCGACTTCATTCATCCTCGCGTAGTTAAGGAGGCATCTCTCTATACATCCGCCTACCCTTCCACTGTCACTGTCACGCTTGGCGACAATCAGGCCAAATCATTCGTCGATTCAGTGGTGCCTGATCTTCCATTCTCCTTCCCCTTGCGGATGCCCCACAGCCTTCGCAAGGCCCCTCGGTTCCATGACCAGTGGACCTTCGACGTCATGGAAACCATATATGATCTTGTTCTCGGCACTGCCTACTCCCATCAATTCGCCCATGCTGGCCCCGAATGGACCCACAACGACCTCGTCCTCGACACCAAGGATGGGAAGCAGTACCGTATTCCGTTGTTGGGCAAATCGGACACTACACCCCCCTCTCCTGTCAATGTTGCCATCTTGACACCAACTCAGTTCCACCACATCCTTCGTCAGCCTGATGCCGAACTCTACATTGTCAACATCACGGATCTCCTTGTCTGTAACTCTATGCATCAGAACGCTGAGTTGGTCGAGCTCGACCCACCACTCCCTGAGCCTCCCGAGCCTCCTGATCCTTCAGCCCCCTCAACCCCCCCCACCCCTGCTACCTCATCTCACCTTCTTGCATCTTCTTCCACGGAGGCGCCATCAGTACCTATTCCCATATTGACTCCTTCCACCCCTGCTTCAGACGCCGCTGCAGCCGAGGAGTTTGACAACCTCCTATCGACTTTGCAGCCTAGCGTTGCGGCCCTCCTTCGCGAGTATCGCGATGTTTTTCCTCCGACCGTCTCTTATAGCAGCATTCCTCCTATGCGCGATATTGAGCACCACATCCGGCTCGAACCTAACTACCGTATTCAGCATCGCGCCCCATATCGCCTCTCGGTCCCCGAAGCCCAGGAACTTAAACGCCAAATTGACGAGCTACTTCGTCAGGGCTTCATTAAACCGAGTACGTCCCCATGTAGTGCACCTGTTCTCTTCGATCGCAAGAAGGATGGCACTCTCCGCCTCTGCCTCGATTACCGCGGTCTCAACGAGTATACGGTCAGAAACAGTTACCCTATGCCTCGTGCGGATGATCTGTTCGACCGCCTCTCAGGCCACCACTTCTTCACGATGATCGATCTTCGTAGCGGATATCACCAGATCCGCGTAGCCGAGGAGGACCAGCCTAAGACCGCTTTTCGTTCTCGTTTTGGGCACTACGAGTTTACCGTCATGCCATTCGGTCTCCGTAATGCCCCTACCACCTTCCAGACGGCTATGAACACGATGTTCCAAGACCTTCTTGAGGACTCGGTTCTAGTCTACATCGACGACATCCTGGTCTACAGTCGTATCTTAGAGGAACATCTGACCTACCTCCGCACTGTCCTCCAGCGATTACGCGACCATGGGTTTTATGCGAAGCTCTCCAAATGCCACTTCGCTCAACCCAAAGTCGACTTCCTTGGGCATCAGGTTTCCGAGCACGGATTCCACATGGACGACTCGAAGATTCAGGCCATTGTCGACTGGCCCACTCCTACCTCTCTTCCTGCGCTGCGTAGTTTCCCTGGGTTGACCAACTACTATGGTCATTTTCTTAAAAACTACGCGCAGTATTCTTCCAAGCTTACCCCCCTGACCCGCGGACGTCTACCTTTTTATTGGACCCCGACTCACGAGAATGCTTTCCGCTCTCTCAAGCGGCTTGTCACGTCAGCTCCTGTCTTACACTTACCCGACTACTCGCGTCCATTCATCGTCACCACTGACGCATCTGACTTCGCTACTGGAGTTGTTCTCTCCCAGATGTATCCAGCCCCCTCTACTTCTCCCGATTCCACAGAGTCTCGCCTCCCTCGCATTCCTCGCTTCCCTCCTCCACCTCCAGCGACTGTGGCTCATCTTGCACCCATCGAGCCCACCCCCCCAGGGGCCCCACCCCCTTATATTCCTGACGTCGCTGATGACGGTACAGTCGAGTCTCGCGGTGGAGAGAGTCCGGTTGCTTATCTATCTCGACAGCTACTTCCCGCTGAGCGTAACTACACTGTCGATGAGCGTGAGGTCCTTGCGCTGGTCTACGCTGTTAAGAAGTGGCGTTACCATTTGCACGGTCATACTTTCACCGTTTTGACGGACAACTCTGTCCTCGCCGCCTTCCAGACGAAGCCTAAGCTCACTTCTCGTCAGGCTCGTTGGTGGTGTGACCTCTCAGAGTTCGACTTCACCATCAGGAAGATTTTCGGCGAAAGCAATCGTGTTGCAGATGCCTTATCCCGCCGCCTCGATCTTCACTGCGAGGACCGTCAACTATCTGCCATCTCAGCTCCTACCATCCACCCCGCCTTTCTGGATGAGTACCGCCGCGCATACACCCAGTGCCCTGAGTTTCAGTCCATCTATGCTGATCTACAGGCTGGCAAGTCCGTCCCTAACTTCCAGCTCGATCCCTCTGGACTCCTATATTGGCTTGGTCGCCAAGGTACTCGTACTCCCTGCTTATGCGTGCCCTCTACTGGCCAGCTCCACGTCCGGGCCGTCGCTGAGTGTCATGACCAGCGCGCCGCCGGTCATCTTGGTGTCTTCAAGACACTTGACCGCCTCTACCGCCATTACTACTGGGAGCACCGCCGTCCTTTCACCAAGGAGTAGTTCGCACCTGCAGGATCTGCCAGGAGACCAGCATTCCCAACCACCCCCCCTATGGCCTTCTCCAGCCCTTACCCATTCCTACTCAGCGTTGGACTTCTGTTTCCATGGACTTCATTGGCCCTCTTCGTCCCCCTACCCCACGAGGCCACGACGCCATCTTCGTCGTTCTCTGTCGGTTGACTAAGCATGCTCACTTCCTCCCTTGCAAGTATGCTAGTTCAGCCAAAGACATCGCCTCCCTATACTTCAACCGTATTGCCACCCATCACGGTCTTCCCACTAGCATCGTCCCTGATCGCGATCCTCGCTTCACTTCCCATTTATGGCGTGGACTCCATGAGATCTATGGCTCCGAGCTCCGCCTCTCCTCCTCCTATCACCCCCTGTCAGATGGACAGACCGAGGTCACCAACAAAACTCTTGGGAGTATCCTCAAGAAGTTTGTTGAGAATGACTCTGATTGGGATCTGCACCTTGCTCACGCAGAGATTGCTTATAACCATGCTATTTCTCCTGCCACTAGCATGTCTCCCTACTACTGTGACTTGAGATACCATCCTCGTGTCCCATCTGACCTTCTTCGTCCATCTCAGATCCATCCCGACAYCAAATGCCCTGCCCTCGATGACTGGGTAAAGGAGATGGATGCGCTCCTTAGCAAGGCTCGCGAGAGCATTGCTAACTCCCAGACTCGCATGGCCACTCGCGCTAACCGCTCTCGCATCAACCATCCCTTCAAAGTTGGCGACGAGGTTCTTGTCGACGCACGTCACTTCCAG